ACTTGTGAAGGGAAACAGATGCCCTTCTCCTGTTTCAGCAGATTGAATAGCATGGCCTCGTTAGGTTTTGACATATGCACTTCAAAATAGTTCCAGAGAAAATTGCTGGCATGCACAGGAATATGTTCTGTTGCGGTTAGGCGGATGGGTGTCCATGCGTCAGGGCCCGAGCGTTTCTTTCCCCCCACCCCGCCTGATGCCTGTCTCCTCCCTGCCTCCAGGTACCAGATACACACCGGCCTCCAGCACTCCATCATACGGCCAACCCAGCCCAACTGCTTACCTCTGGATAACGTCACGCTACCTCAGAAGCTGAAGGAGGTTGGGTATTCCACGCACATGGTTGGCAAATGGCACTTGGGGTTTTACCGCAGAGAATGCATGCCCACGCAGAGAGGATTCGACACTTTCTTCGGCTCGCTCTTGGGCAGCGGCGACTATTACACTCACTTCAAATGTGACAGCCCTGGGATATGTGGCTACGACCTGTACGAGAACGACAACGCAGCTTGGGATCAGGACAACGGCATCTACTCGACGCAGATGTACACGCAAAAAGTGCAACAAATCTTAGCTTCGCATAGCCCCAGGAAACCTCTATTCTTATATATCGCTTACCAAGCTGTTCATTCGCCCCTTCAGGCACCAGGCAAGTATTTTGAACATTATCGATCGATAAATAACATCAACAGGCGAAGATACGCCGCGATGCTGGCTTGTTTGGATGAAGCCATAAACAACGTAACCCTTGCGTTAAAGAAGTACGGTTACTATGAGAATAGTGTTATCATATATTCTTCAGATAATGGTGGGCAGCCAATGGCCGGAGGAAGTAACTGGCCTCTCCGAGGAAGCAAAGGGACCTATTGGGAAGGAGGTATCCGTGCTGTGGGGTTCGTCCATAGCCCCCTTCTGAAAAACAAAGGGTCTGTGTGCAAGGAGCTTGTGCACATCACAGACTGGTTCCCTACCTTGATCACGCTGGCAGAGGGGCAGATCGATGAAGATATCCAGCTGGATGGCTATGATATATGGGAAACCATTAGCGAAGGCAGGCGTTCTCCACGGGTAGACATCTTACACAACATTGACCCGATTTACACCAAAGCCAAAAATGGGTCCTGGGCGGCTGGCTATGGGATCTGGAACACTGCGATTCAATCTGCCATCAGAGTGAATCATTGGAAACTACTGACGGGAAATCCGGGATACAGCGACTGGGTACCTCCACAGGCCTTCAGTAACGCGGGCCCCAACCGCTGGCACAACGAACGCGTTTCTTGGTCAGCTGGCAAAACGGTGTGGCTTTTCAACATAACTGCCGATCCCTATGAACGCGTGGACCTCTCTGCCAGGTATCCAGACGTAGTGAAGCAGTTGTTGCAGAGGCTTTCACAGTTCAACAAGACTGCGGTTCCTGTTCGATACCCACCTAAGGACCCTCGGAGTAACCCAAAGCTGAACGGAGGAGTCTGGGGTCCGTGGTTTAAGGAGGACGAAAAGAAAAAGAAATCAGATAAAAGTAAAGGTGGCAATAAGCAAAAGAAGAACAAGAACAAGAAGAAAGCAAATCGGAAAAAAGGGCAATCATTACATTGCCGTTCACGTCTTGCTGGTGGATAAACTCTAAGTGCGCTCTTTTGCCAAGTCGAAGTCAGCTTGGCCCAACTTTCTTGAACTTCTGACAGAACATACTAGAAATGCTAGCTCTGCACTATGGATGAAAGTTGTCACCTTTTAATTTTTTCTCCGATTTCACCAAGGTATCTCAATGCTCTGCCTTGAGCGTACCTAAACGTCCACATGACAAACTTTCTCCTCTACAGGATGACTGGTGCTCACCCATTACAGCTACATTCCAGATAACAGCGGCGATGACACCTCATTTCAGTAAACTCGTTCGTGACGGACAAGCGCTGGTTCCTTGCCTATTTTAGTCGGAATATTTGGAGAGTATGGAGATGTTAATGGCAGATGTTCTCAGACTGACAGACGATTCACAGAGAGGGAAGAGAAACAGAACTCAAGAACCTATGTGGGTCAGAAAGCGTTAGTCAATGACCTGTGACTTTTCTTGATATGACACAGCAAAACCATGAAGCCATCAGAGTAACTTTTTAGAGGTGCTGGGGCGGTGGGGGGGCATGATAGGAGGAAAGCTGCTTCAAATTAGACTTTGTCTGTCTGACATAAATCAGAAAAATTTTTAGAACTTCCTAGATGTGCTAAGCTCCTCCCATTTGTAGCAAAACCAGAAGGTGGTTATTCCACATGAACAGCTAGCACGCGCCGTGTATAATTTATTATAGGAGTAGACAAAACCGCATCACCAAAGTGAATGTAATATTTAAACACTTTAAGATAACTATGCAGCAATATGTAAAAGACATAATTTATTTTACAGCACAATACTTATTTCTCTTCCATTAAAACTAATCACTGGGTGATGCAAGGTACCCCTTTGGGTGCGAGGGTTGGTTGGGTGGTTGTTTTTTTTTCCTTTGATTTTTAATTTTATTTCCACCCTTTCATTCAGAGTTTTATTTAACAGTTCCCATATCCTCAGAGTACTGTAAACCAAGAAAATACTGTATACACTGCTAGGATGAGAAAGGAGAGTAATTCAGGTGCATCATTTCATTATGTATTTTTTGCCTCCACTTATTTTGAATGTAACAAAGTGATTATTTAATTTAGTAGACACATGAATACTGTTCAGTTTCTGTACAGAAGCTAGGCCATCTTTATGTTTTTGGGGGGAAAATTCTACTCTAAACCTTTTATTTATGTATCTATTAAAATAGTTTATTTTTATGGCATTCATAAAAGTAGTCTGCCTCGTTTTTGCATCAAAGATAGCAGTTCTTTTTTTTTTTTTTTTATTTTAAACAAACTCGGTAAGCTTTTTTTTATTACTATTCATTTTGGTTCGGGGATGATTTTATGCCATTTCACTTCTGCAGCAGAATTTCTTCTTCCAATACAGCTATCATTCGAGACACGGTTCAAACTTTGCCCTTTTCCAAGGTGTCTGCATGGATGATTAATGGATGTACTGACTGCACGTCCTTGGTGATTTGTGATAATTGATACAATACATATGCGCATATAAGCTTCAAGATGAATTACGTTAAGTAAAATTGATGATTCATTTGTTAAATAGCTATAGCGTGTTTTGGTAAAATTGAAAATAAGCCTGCTTTCCAACTACCTCTCGCTTGACTCAGAAATCACATTTATATAAATGGACTGCAGTTGAAAAATTAAACATTCATAAAATCAGTGCACGCTAAAATCTGAATCATGTCCAACGCTCCAACGCCCCCCGACCTTTTTTGAAAAGAAGCTAATTGCAGACATGTACTGCCAAAACCTACTAAATTGCATATTTTCAGCTATAAAGCAGAATAAAGCGGTCATTAATGAAAACTTAGGAACAAGTTAGTCATATTTTAGAACTACTTTTGTAATGAATATCCTGGGGAGAGGATAGCAATGGACTTCTTGAGTAGTTACCTATAAATAATAATTATAACAGGATGATGTGTATCTGCGTAAGTGTTTAATATTGTCACTGTTATTTTTCATGTTGTGTGGTCCTTGGGAGGACTAATTAATTTTCTGAGAAATTGGTCTAGCTTTACTTCAGCTCCAGACTATTCAATGAGTAATCAGGAACTCAAATGTTCTCTAATTTCTCACTTTCTTTTTTTTTTTTTTAATGTACTGTTGATATCCTTAAATGATAATAAGGTCTTGAGATACCATACGCCAAACTGTGATGTATGAAATTCATGTCTTTGAGAAAACACGTCTTTTTTGTCTTTGAGGAAAAGGGAGACTCTTAAAGTTAGTCTGGATCAGCCATGGATACACAGGTGTACGTACGAATTATGGACAAATGGAGCCATGATGACTTTTTATGATGTTCCTTTTCTAGGTTGGGAAAGATTCTACATTTCGGTGATAAACAGTAGGAGAGAAGCCAAGTTTCAAAACTGATTTTGAAACATAATACTGTCTAGTTTACAACTTATCACATAAATCAGGACGGTTATGCTTGAAATGCGCCTGCGTTGCACACCGAGTTCGGCATTCGAAAGGAAGAGCAACGCTTCTGACTTTCCAAGGTCATTTAAGAAAGGCCAGAATGAGATGTGTAGGCTAAACTACACATAAAGAAGGACCAAGATATTTTAGTTTATTTTGGCGTAACAGAAGCAAGGCGCTGTAATAAGGTGTTATCCTCACAGAATCAGTGTTCGCCCTTTTCCATGGGAGTTTTATGGTTGCTTTGGCTTCTTTTGGACTGAAGCCACTGGAGAGCGTTATTCTCTGACAACCTTTTATCCGGTAATTATTTATATCTGTTCTCTCTCAGGCAAAATGGGGCTCCTGGAAAGTAATCGGCGCAAAGCAGAACAGCGGATCGGTTCTTGCGTGCCCGTCCGTTAAATAACTGTGCCACAAGAGTAAGTGTTTGCAGAGTACACACCGGGGTGCGTTTCCGAAGGGCGCGCTGGTTCTCATTCCCTTGAAATTGATATTCTGAGCTGGTATAGGGCAAAAGTTGCGTTTAGAGGGGGTTAGAAAACACCCACAATTTGGAAGCCTTCCTGAATTTTTTGCAGAAAAGATCCTGATGCGGAAATACCGTGTTGCGATTTTCCCGTCTGCTTCTTTTTTCACTCCAGCGATACAACAGTCTCTAGTTTTTGAAGGGATACCGGATAGCTCTCAAACCCGACTTTCTGTTTACGGAGCTGTGAGGAGTTCATGCGCTCTCGCAGCAGGTTTCATGGGTTATTTATGTCTCGTAATGCGGTACGTGCCCAGTCTCAGGCAAGGTATAAGAGGTAAACGCTGCAAACGGTTCACAAAAAGGCTACTAGGCTTACCGAGACGCTGAGACTCTGAAGGAAACCCAACAGTCCTCCTGATTGCTGGGCAGACTTAGCGAGGGAATCATCCCTGTAGTTGGGCTGAAACATCTGTGCGAAGGCGCTCTTGAAAACAGATTGGTGTAAGTCAGTAAGGAAAAATGTCTTCACCGTAAAGGGCTGTCAGGCACTGGAAGGGGCTGCCCAGGGAAGGGGTCGAGTCCCCACCCCTGGGGGGATTTAACAGCCGGGCAGAGGCGGTGCTGAGGGCCAGGGTTTGGGGGGGGGATGGCAGGGGTAGGGAAACGGTTGGGCTTGATGATCTTAAAGGGCTTTTCCAATCTGAACGATTCTGTGATTCTATGATTCTAACCGGTCTCTACCCACATTTTTAAGAGATCTAGAAAAAGACTGGGTGGGGGGAGGAAAGGCGGGGAGGATTTGCTTATCGTGTTTAAGTTGTCTCAAGCTTTCTATTCTCCACTTGCTGTACAGGTACAAGAAAAAGGCAGGTCTGATAGAAACTGTCTGGTCTGGTCTCGGTGATATCCACGCCTCTGGGAGGACCAGCCTGAGCAGGGAGACAATATTTCTTCTTTTTCCATGTATTCTTGATAGCTGTGATCCTGGATCATTGTTTCTACAGCAAGACAACCTGAAGAGTGAGATGGATAACCACAGGGAAGAGAGGGAGGAAGAAAAACTCGAGAAAGAGAAAAAAAACCCAACAAATTAAGCAGAAGCAAGAAAGCATTGCCTTGTGATCCTGAATTGCTTCTTAAAATCTTGTAAGCATGAAAAATGTCTGTGTTGTCCTTTTCAGGACAATTCCAAAATTCTAAATTTCAGGAGAATTCTAAAATGCCGTCCAATTCTAAAGCTCTTTGAATGACTTTTCTAATAGTTAGATAATTTTATCACCTTAACTTATTTTTACTGTTGTTGTTGTTTAGTTTGACGTGAAGTTGGGGACAAAACACTATCCTGGCTCCAGATAAAGAGCAGTGGAAGACAGTGCCAAGAAAGGTAAGTAAATCTAAAATGGCAGGATTTATGGATGGATCACGCATAAGACGTGAGGGAAAAGCCCACGTGGTTGTGAAGCTCAGCCGTGGAATCCGAGTTATCATAACTAATGGAGTCATTAGTGTCTGAAGGCATCCAAAAGGTTCCTCTATCCGCTGGGACGTGAGGCTTTTTGGAAAGTGAATTAGGCCATTAAATCCAGCAGCTTTCTCTTTCTGCCTGGAAGTAATGGGTGCTGATTAGATTTCAGGCTGATGGAAGAGCAGTCGTGTTTCCATCTGCGCACGATTTTACGTCAGGGGTTATCTGAGGTGTCGTCCAGGCAATACCGAAACTTAGGGGGTTGTGATCCCGCTGCACAGAATAAGCTGCTTTTTCTTGCTCGGTGCTTCAGGCGCTGCGCGTTCAGCGAGCAACACTCAGGCTTTTACGCAGCCATCCACATTTTGAATGTTGCCTTCTATAAAGAGCATTAGCCCTCTGCAACAGAAAGTAAGACAGCAGCAAAAGTTTGAACATACGAGGTCAGACACGGGGCTGCAGCATTTAGGGAATAAACTAGGAGTGGACTTGCTGTTAAAATTTCTTTCAGGTGAAACAACTTGGTTGATGGCAAAGAGTAGGAGTAGTTTTCCCAATGCCATTAGACCAAAGACATGAGTATGTCTGAATTCTCCTTAAACTCCAAGGAGATACTGAATTCCTCCCAGTGGCATT